CGCGCCCCCATCCGCTGGGCACTGCCCTTACTGCGCAGGCGCGCGCACCAAAACCCGCCCCTTCTCGCGTAGACGTAGTGACCACGCCCCCACTGCACTACGCAGTATTTCCGTATCGCGCTTGCGCACTGGCTACGTGCCGCTTCACTGCGCATGTCTGCAGGCCGGACTACCGGCCTGGTTCACCTCAGCGGGTTCCTGAGTCTTCGGCGCATGCGTCTTCCCTCAACCTAGACAGGGTCAACAAATCAAGCGCGTGCAGTCGCGCTAGGCCCCCGTCTAGGTGACCTTTGCATTTCCTGTTTGGAAATGTTATTTTTAGGGAATCCTAGCGGGGCATCCCAGGCAGGAATCTGAGTCCTCCCAGCGACTCAGCCAGACTGATGGTAGCACAGCCACAGTCAGTGACATTTAATATCAGGCAGGTGAGAAGTCACCCTGCTGCTGGGTAGGTCCCCTGCAACAACAGCTTTATTGACACCCTCAGGGCAAACAGTCCCCATGACCTCCTTCAACAACAGCTTTATTGACACCCTCAGGGCAAACAGTCCCCATGACCTCCTTCAACAACAGCTTTATTGACACCCTCAGGGCAAACAGTCCCCATGACCTCCTTCAACAACAGCTTTATTGACACCCTCAGGGCAAACAGTCCCCATGACCTCCTTCAACAACAGCTTTATTGACACCCTCAGGGCAAACAGTCCCCATGACCTCCTTCAACAACAGCTTTATTGACACCCTCAGGGCAAACAGTCCCCATGACCTCCTTCAACAACAGCTTTATTGACACCCTCAGTGCCCCCACATGGGCTCCATCACTCAGTTTTACTGATGCCCCTCAGTGCAAACAGTCATTCCCCTTATCAGGGCAACCTTCAACAATGGCTTTACTCACCTCCTTAAAAAGGTCACCTACGGCTTTATTCTGTTTCTTTTTATTTAGAGGCTCATACTAGTGCCTGTCACCCCAACCTTTGAACACCTCCCTCGTGAGATTGGAGACTGGCAGACGTGATAACAGCAAGGGGGCTGCAGAGGCATAGACATTATCACTGCTCTCCCCTGGGGAAGGAGGAGAGGGAGATGCTCCTTATTTGGGGGGGGGGGTCATGAAACCACCCTCCTGTCCCACCGTTGTCCTATCTTTTCACATTGAGACAGTGGTCACTACAGAAGGCCTAGGTTTAGCTGCTGCTTTTAGTTACCCAACTCATGGTTTTATCATCACATGTGTCAGGGACATCAATGTTCCCTGTAAGCTGTGTGCTTGGGCGGTCACCCAGGAGAGATTCAAATGCCTCCCAGCTCATTAGCAAAGCACTCACAGCTGGCATAATGTGTTTTTGCTGGTGGAATACATCCACACATGCCTTGGTGTACAGAACAAAATGTATGCACAAGGGTGCAAAAAAAAATAGAGGGAACCTTCCTTGGTCAGGGTATTTTTGTGGTTTTGCGTAAACCCCTGGCTCCCAAAGTCGTGATGCTGTCGGCTTTCATTTAAAAACAAAAATAATCACGCATCTGACGAAGTGGGTCTTTGCCCACAAAAGCTTATGCTCCAACACTTCAGTTAGTCTATAAGGTGCCACAGGACTCCTCGCCATTTTTGCAAAAATAATCTTCTAGCCCTCACAGAGGAAAGGTGAACCTTCAGGCTCAAAACCCAAAAGGCAAATTTAAAAAAAATCAGTTTCATTTGGGTTCTGGACATCCAACACTCGGGTCATCTGAAGAACTGGGCTGTGCCCACGGAAGCTCATGATACCATCTACATGTTTTGTTAGTCTTTAAAGTGCATCCAGACTATTTGTTGTCTTTTAAGTTTATCCTGTGCAGAATAACTCAGCTACCCCCGAAGCTAAAAAAAATCAACTACTCTCCTCCTTCAAAAAGTATTATTTTTTACAATCGCATAATTTTTCAGGCCAATCTCATAACATGGGAGGGGGCTTTGAAAGGTCTGAGCCAGGGTTCCTGAACTCTTGCAGTTTGCAACAGGAATGCTACAAAGTAGCACATAACGTGTCATGTGACAGGGTCAAGCTTCAACAAGAGCTTTATTAACACAACCACGTGGGACTGAGCAGAGAGGATGGTGCAGCCCTCAGGACACAGAGCTAGAGCCAGCCACTGCTCTAGAAGGGCTTGTGTTCCCCCTCCGAAATGCTGCTGCTGGCTCCAGGCTCCTGGAGCTCAGGGCTGGAAGTAAAGCTGTCCCCACTGAGCAGGTAGGAAATGGGATGGCAGCCATTGGTCTTGCTGCAGGAGGAGGGAGGATGCTAATGGAGCAGAGAGGAAGGAGAGAGCTTAGCCAGGAAATTGGGTGTATTTCTGCTCTCAGTGAAGTGTCATCGTGACAAAGGCTGGAGTAGGGAGGTGTGGTTTTTTATTTACACATCCAGCACCCAGACAAATCAGGCAGCATGGTAGGGAGGTGTGGTTTTTTTATTATTTACACATCCAGCACCCAGACAAATCAGGCAGCATTTTGAATCCTGTTTTGTTCTCTCCCCTTCCCCCAACGCACCGAGAGAGAAGCCAGCCCTTCTCTGGAAGGGGCTGGCAAACTTTTTTGCTTTGAGGTTTTGTGTGTCTAATTGCTGGAGGGAGGGAAGGGAAAACATCAGAAGGAGCGCCGGGGGTACTGCAAAACTCAGATCTCCTTCCAGGGGGGTGGAGGGTTTTTTGTAAGGGGTGGGGATGGCAGCATGAATGAGGTATCCTGTTCTGGGACCCTCAGCATCAAAAAGGCAATGTTCACACGGCTGCGGCAAGGATCAATCATGCAAGGTTTAATGCAGGCAGGACAGATGGGAGTGCTGTGCTTAATGACATGTTTTCTGCATGTGACCCTTGCAAGTTGCATTCCCTTTGCAGTCTTTCAATTGTGGCCACTCTAGAACTGTTGCACTTCCATCTCTCTCTGCCACTGTCTTTTTTCTTTTTTAACTTGGGAGTGCTTATCACTTAACCATGCATGCTTCCCTTTCCATGTACTAGTCATGCATTTTATCCTGCTGTCAAACAACTTCCTCTTGCTAAACTAGCCCCTGCTTCTGGCCTCTCTCCACTCCTACACACCTTTCCTGAAATGAGCAGCATTTCACCATAATTCCTATCACAGAATCTCTTCTTGCTCATAAATAACCCTTTTTTATTTTCCCACCTTTGCAGATAGAAAGATGGCAGGTGTCCCACCAGGAATGGAACTGTGCCCCTATTGTGGGAAGCCATTTAAACGACTGAAATCCCATTTACCACACTGTAAGATGGCAGGAGACAGAAACACTGCTTTTGACTCAGGCAAGGTGCTATATCCTGACTTGGAAGCATCTTATGCCAAGCCAGTTAGACCTCTGGCTCCCGAGAAAAAAAGGGGGCAAAGCAAAGAGAAGATGACAGGCATAGACAATGGCTCAGAAAGAGAAAGTAAGAAAAAAAACCTTGACACAACAGGGAACAAAGCAGAAAGCAAATTAAATCCCTTGCAAAGAGGGAATTTTGCTGGCTCAGAAATAGCCAGCAGTTTGCCTGCAGAAAAACCAGGTAAAAATACAAAGCGGCAAATTAAACTGGCTTCTGAAAAGACCCACCGAGAGGAAGGAATGAGCCTAGTTCAAGAAGAGGCCAGTATGCACACAAAAGCATCAGAGGATAGAACTTCAGAAGCAAAGCATGCGAAGAAGTTACCCAAAACCCAAAAAAGCAGAAGTAAAAATACTTCTGGTGCTGAGAATTTGGCACCTGGTAGCATTCTAGAGCCTCCATCAAATCAGGATGAAAAATCTGCCTTGAAGTTCCCTAGCGACCCAATAAGATCTTCTGCAAAACAGAAACAAAGAAAGGTAGGGTCTCCAACACGGGAGGTGGCGGGTCCTTTGGATTTACCCACTAGTGAGCTTGAAAGTATTCCTAGGGCAGCTATTGAGGGAGCTAAAGTAGTTATTAAGAATCATCGTGTCAAAGTGCTAAGAGGTAGGACTGAATCCAAAATTCAGGGCTCCCTGGCAGACAGTGCTACCACAGGTAATTCTACAACCCAGAGATGTTATATGGAAGTACTAGCCCCAGACAGCTCTGAAAGCCATGCTGCGATAGTCCAGCCTGACCATTGGAAGAACGAGAACGTTATAGGGGCCGTGAACACAAATGGTTTTCATTTGGAGCTTGCAGAAAATAATACGTTGAGTGCAGAGCGCGAAAAAGGGGATAGTTTAACAGCAACTGAAATGCACACACGCACTGATGACAGGGAGGCCGACTGCCGAAAGATTCCAGGTTGCCTCACCCCGCTGGACAGAGTGGATAAAACCGAGACAGAAGAGAAGCAGTTTTACTTAAATGGGGACGTGGATTCTAAGGCCGCTTTCTCGGCTTCCCTCATCGAGAGGCGCCATTCAGCAAGAGACACTCTTAGTAGAGCCAGCGAAGGCATAGCCAGCCACTACCTAACCTGTGTGCAACAGCTTCAGAAGGCTGAAAAGCAGATTGGTTTCCTTTCTGAGCCTGCCCTGATTGCAGGGAGAAGAAACAGCGAGCTGGCTTTGAAACACCACTTGGTCCACACCTCCGAAAACCAGCCCACTTGTCTGTTCCAGTCTTCTGGCAGAGATATACAGGCAAGATCCATTGGGCTGGAGTGGTTTCCAGAACTGTATCCTAATTATCAGAGGCTGAGCATGCTTCCAGGGAGACCTGTTCAAGGGGACACGGAAATCAAGATGAAGAAGATGGAGCCTGGTTTCTTGGAAGGACTGCAAGGTAAAAGGAGGCTTTCAGTCACTACTTTTGAGATGTTCTGCCTAGCAATCACAGATGGGCTACATCCATTATATAATATCAGGGAGGGGGTCCCTTCCAGTTCTAGTCTTCTATGATAAGGGGCAAAGCTATCATAGAACACTAGAACTGGAAGGGACCTCGAGAGGTCATCAGATCCTGTCCCTTGCCCTCACGGCAGGACCAAGCACCGTCTAGGTCAGCCCTGACAGGTGTCTGTCTAACCTGCTCTTAAATATCTCCAGTGATGGAGATTCCACAACCTCCCTAGGCAATTTATTCCAGTGCTTAGCCACCCTGACAGGCATTTTTTCCTAATGTCCAAACTAAACCTTCCTTGCCACAATTTAAGCTCATTACTTCTTGGCCCATCATCAAAGGCCAAGGAGGACAATGTTTCTCTCTCCTCCTCGTTACACCCTTTTAGATACTTGGGACATAATAGCAGCTTGCAAGTATCTAAAAGGGTGTAACGAGGAGGAGAGAGAAACATTGTCCTCCTTGGCCTTTGATGATGGGCCAAGAAGTAATGAGCTTAAATTGTGGCAAGGAAGGTTTAGTTTGGACATTAGGAAAAAATGCCTGTCAGGGTGGCTAAGCACTGGAATAAATTGCCTAGGGAGGTTGTGGAATCTCCATCACTGGAGATATTTAAGAGCAGGTTAGACAGACACCTGTCAGGGCTGACCTAGACGGTGCTTGGTCCTGCCGTGAGGGCAAGGGACAGGATCTGATGACCTCTCGAGGTCCCTTCCAGTTCTAGTGTTCTATGATAGCTTTGCCCCTTATCATAGAAGACTAGAACTGGAAGGGACCCCCTCCCTGATATTATATAATGGATGTAGCCCATCTGTGATTGCTAGATTTACGAGCTGTCACATGGAACCTTAATTTGTATTCACTAGGATTAGCATGGCTTTCCCTAGAAAAGCAAGCATGCTTCCCTCAACGTAGGCCTTGTTTTTTCTAGATAAGACGCACCTCTTCATGCGGCCTATGATCTCTCCAGTCCAGGGGGAAGGGTGGTATGTTTTTCCGCCTCGAAAGAAGCAGGGAAAATCCCACTGTTGGAATCATTTTGAACTCTGCTGCATGCAGGGAGTGCAGCTTGCAGACTGGGAGGGAAGGGAGACAACATAACCCAGCCCTGTTGTCCCACCTCTGACTTTTGTTTCATAGTTCCCCTTGCAGAAAGGCGTCTGATGGATGTGAAACTCAAGGAGCTGCCTGGCTGGCTGGCAGCTTGTGACTTCTCTCCAAAGGGACTGGTCAGAGCAGTGCGGAAAGGTGAGCCTGGATCGTTTGCTTCCTTTCTGTACATTGACTTGTCTGAAACCTAGTCTAAAAAAAATTAGATTGGCCCTCCTTGATCTGGCACCCTCGGGACCTGACTGGTCCCAAAGGAGGGAGTTTGCCAGACCAGGGGAGGTCAGTTCCAGTCCCTCTGCTGACGGTCTCCTGGGATCCATCAGCAGACCCAGCCAGGCTTCCTGGCCCCGGGACCCAGGGCCCCCTGCTAAGCTTCACTGCCTCAGGGCTGCCGGGCTCCGCTGCTTTCGGGCCACCGCTGCTGGGCTGCTGACTCCCTGGACAGCTCCGGATGCTGGGCTCCATGCTGCCAGCCTCCCAGAGCTCTCCGGTCCAGAGAGTCTGTTGTCCAGCAACAGCCGTGGTCTGGTTGCCAGACCATAGAGTACCAGACCAGAGAGGTTCAACCTGTAGCAACAGCACATCGGGGTGGGAGACAAGGCGAGGTAGGTGGCATCAGTTATCTTCATGGAAACGGAAGTGGCTTGACTCATCCAACCATTCAGCTTCTAAAATTAGTCTGTCAGCTGGAGACGAATAACCAAGCTGGCCTGCATTTCGGTTTCCCCAGCCTGGAGCTGTTACTACAACAAATACATCGACGTAAAGAAGGGCGGAGCTGCTGGGATCTCCATGCTGGTGGCTGGATATTGCATCCTGAGCTATGGCTGGAGATATGAGCATCTGAGTAAGGTTTTCTTTTGGATGTTTTGTCTCTTCCAAGCCGGTCCTTTTATATTAGAGCGGGGCAAATCTCTGTTAGCCAAGTGATTTCAGGGTTATCATAGAACACTAGGGCCAGAAGGGACCTCGAGAGGGCATCAAGTCCAGTCCCCGGCCCTCACGGCAGAACCGAACACCATCTAGGCCAGCCCTGACAGGTGTCTGTCTAACCTGCTCTTAAATATCCCCAGTGATGCAGATTCCACAATCTCCCTCAGCAATTTATTCCAGTGTTTAACCACCAGGTGGTGCACATCCACACATGCCTCAGTGCACATAACATTTATTCTGCACATGGATGGAAAAAAGGAGGGAACATTGAATACTAGGGCTGTCGATAACTGTGATTATCTCAAAAAAATAAAGCATGCTTCAAAGACTGAATGACGGTAAATCAGTTTTAAACCCACGGTCAAAAAAATGAATATCAATTGGAATTTATTAAATATTTTGGATGTTTTTCTCACAGTTATCTAAAAATAAAGCATGATTAAAAGACTGAATGAAAGTAAATCAGTTTTAAACCCACGGTCAAAAAAATGAATATCAATTGGAATTTATTAAATATTTTGGATGTTTTTCTACATTTGCAAACATATCGATTTCCATTACAAACACAGAATGCCAAGTATGCAGTGCTCGCTTTATATTTTTATTACAGATATTTGCTCTGTAAAAATGGTAAGAGAAATAGTATTTCTCAGTTCACTTCAAACAAATGGCACGATAGTGGATGTACATCGTAAAAGTGCAATTTACAAATATAGATGTTTGGGGTACCTAACTAGAGCCCTGCAAATCCACAGATATTCACTTTATATCTGCAGGTATCCACATTCACGGATAGGAATGCGGATATTCGCGGCTCATTTTTGTGGATACATGTATACATTTTGTATCTAGCAACTTGCACATTTGTGGATAGCTGCAGGTATCCACATGCATGAATTTTAACATCCCTAATCCACATACACAAATCCATGTAAACGCGTAACCGCTGAATTCAGTGGTTACATAGTTACACATGGTGGGAGGGGGGAGCTGGTGCTCACGGCAAGCCAGCTTTTAAGCCTGCCTTTCTGTGCTGCCTTTCTGTGCACAAGAGGGCTTTTGCCCGAACGGGAGCAGCAGAGCATTTCCGCAAGAAGCACTGATTTCAGACAGTAGGAAGTCTGTGTTCTTGCGGAAATTCAAGCGGCCAGTGTAGACAGCTGGCAAGTTTTTCTGCAAAAGTAGCTGCTTTTGTGGAAAAACTTGCCAGTCTAGACGCAGCCGTGCTGCTGTGTATTTATGCTGGGGAAAGCACAATCAAAGCGGTGTGCCTTGCACTCTGTGTGAGTACGTACATGGAAGCATCTAGCCAGTTGTGCTCGCGATACTCTTATTTCTGCTAGCTGGGTGTAATTAGGATGCATTTCCCCTGGGTTCTCTTCCTTTCCTGCTTGAACTATCATTCTTCCGCTGCCTGGCATTTACAGGACAGCTGAGTTAACCTGCAGGAGACAATTACAGTGAACCCAACAAATCAGTGAAATCACACTCCGGCTTAGACATTGATGGCCACTGGAAAGTCCCGGCTGAGCTTAAATGCTACCAGAGAAACGTTCACATTGTATTTCTTTTTCTGTAAAGAACAGGATCGCTGGCGCAGACATCACTAAGGAAGGCACAAGGGCATTTGAGGATCAGAGACAGAAAATACACGACCGCCGGGTGAGACTCCGGCACGGCGCGTACGACCCACTTTCCGGCAGATCGCACGGCTTTGGAGGCCAGCGCTCTCCTCTGTTTTAATCAGCTCCGTTAATTTATTGCCAAAGGGAATGTTTTCTATTTACTCTCCCATACCGTGTAGTGTTAGCCAGAGGGGCACGTTCTGCAGAGACTGACAGTTTTCTGAGAGCACTAGCAGGAAATCTGAGCTGATGTTTAGTACCCGCAGAGCCAGACCTGGATTATAGGGCAGAAACTGGAAGATCAAAACCTGAGAGCTCCTGCTTTTAGCTCATATAGCACCTGAATCTGGTGCCAGATGTTCTAGGCCCCTGAGAACTTGCAGGGGAGGGGGCAGGGACTACAGGCACCTGCTCCCCCCATGTTTTAGTTTCAAAGGTGAATGGCAGGTTCCAGTGTGAATACTGGGCAGAGGACCCCAGCCAATAAGACAGGGGTGGGCAAAATTTTTGCAATGGCCCTGGGCTGCCCCGGAAGGGGCAGAGCCTCAGGTGGAAGGGGCGGGGCCAGGACACTTCCCGTGCTTCCCCACCCACGACCTTGATTGGTCTGTGGGTGTGGGAGCACATGAAGTCTTTGCCCCCACTGCCCCCCCCCCAAGAAAACCGCCAGCTGTTCTGAAGAGCTGGCAGCTCCCTCTAGGCGCCCACACCCCTGGTGGTGGGAGGAGACTTTGCATACTCCCTCCCCCAGGCCTGGACTGACCCGGGGGCTGGGAGGGAAGGATCCCATGAAGTCTGCCTCCACCCTGCAAGGGAACCTCGTGCTTAGTCACCCACCAGCTGAGCAGCCACTGGAGGTTGACTCTTAAGTGCTGAGCCTCTTGCAGGGCTCCCTGCCCTCCGGCACATGGTACTTAGAGTTGGCCAAGCACGTCCTGATTGGCCTGGGGCAAGGGAGTGGCAGATTGGGTCTGCAAAGGCCCTTTTGCCTATCCCAGCAATAAGAGGAAGAGGAGGAGTTTGGAAGGACCATCTGCCCAGGCCCCCAGCTCGGTTGTAAAAGTGGGATGGCACCAGGGACCTATGACAGACGCTCAGCGGGGGAAGCATGACAACCCCTGGTCCCATTCCGCGTCCTGCACCCGTGCTAAGCAAGACATGCTGTTTGGCCCAGCTCTGCACGACAGTCTGAGCCCAGACGCCACACTCTGCAAAGCCTGGCTCGTTTAAGGACAGGGCTGTGAGCCAGTCAAGCGCTGCAGGAACCACGTCAGATCTGATCTGGAGAGCTCCAAGCTGACAGTTTGACAGCGCAGCAGTCGGGGTAAGACAGACCCCTTCTCTGCCACACAGCCACCGCGACGCACGAGGGCAGCCACCCAGCCCGGTCTCTCCCTTGTAAGCAACACGCGGCCTGTCAGAAGCTGTTGCCGTAATGACGGAATGACATTAACTCAGCAGCATCCTATTATCGGCACAGGACAAGCCGTACTATTCAGACGGTCCTCTGGGTAGAACATGACCCTTCTAGCAGAACAAACAAGAGTCAGTGATTAAAATAGTGTTGATTCTAACCCTGCCTCTAGCCAGCTAGGATTCTATTTCCTCTCTCCAGGACAGCGTAATGCAATCAAAAGGGGACCCAGAACTGTTGGCCAAAAGCTTTATTACAAATACATTACAGTAGCATTAAAAAACAACACTCCGGCTGCCGAACAAGAGTAAAACCACATTATACCAAGACTTCTCTCTCCCTTGCAATAAATCTGGTGTTTTCTTAACTCCGATTTTGTACGAGGCGCGCTGTTACAAGGCAATATCGTCCCGCCTTCCACTGGAGCCTTAGCACCCCTCTTGAGGGCGTGTTAACCCCATTGTACAGTAGGAGAAGTAGAGGCACACAGCTATTAAGTGACTTGCCCAAGTTCACGCATCAAGGTGGCGGTTAGTGATGAAACCCAGTTCTGGTCCCCGTCCTGTCATCTAACCACTCCAGGCTACGGAAAGGTCAGCTTCTTTCTCCATCTCTCAGCAATTGCAGGAGATGTTTTGAGAGAGAGCACCTTGAGTATTGGGAGAGGAAAGAACTTGGATTCAGCCGTAGATTCACAGGATCCTGCTAAGGGCTGTGAATTGTAGTCTAGAAGCCAGAGGCTGCCCTTTTCAACTTCGCGCCTACTGAAATACTTCCTGACCCCAGCACACAGCAGGCCCCTGAATAGTAGCCAGAATCCAAGCGGACTGTTCGACCGTGCCTTTCAAAACCACGGTTTAGTGCTGGCATGATTATCAGTGTCTGACACACCAGCCGGGCCTGAGCCCCCTGCCAACACAACAGGGTGGGGTCAGAAAATAAACATCCAGTTACAGTTCCAAAGCAACTGCATTTCTCCCTCCCCTTTCCCCAAGCAAAGAGTGGTAAAAAAACCTGCCTGGAGCAGGATGACTCCGACTGGGCTTTAGAAAGACACCCACTGTCCTGACTGGCCGCCAGTGTATCCCAACATAGCCTCTTCCTTTGGCTCCTCTTCCTGGCGTGCTCGCCAATCATTTCCCCGGCTGGATTCCCAGCCGACTCTTGCGGCATTTGTTGGCATAGTGGCCCTTTTCTCCACACTGCAAGGGAAGCGAATAGCAGAACATCCCCATGGGCAAGGAGATCAACCTAGTACAGCACAGAGCAATTGCCCAGGATGGAGGGTTTAAAACAGGTGGGGAGTTTGGCCCCTGGATTGCCTGGATCCAGCGCCCGAGGCTCAGGGCTCCAGCCCC